AGGGAGGGAGGGAGGGAGGGAGGGAGGGAAGGAGACAGGGAGGGAGACAGGGAGGGAGGGAGACAGGGAGGGAGACAGGGAGGGAGGGAGACAGGGAGGGAGAGAGGGAGGGAAGGAAGGACCATCTGCACTCTTTGGAGAATCAGGCAGTGGGCTTGGGGACAAAACACAGTCTCCTCTGTCTTTTCCTGTTAATTGTGGACTGGCTCAGCCAAGAGAGGAGGGGGTTCACCATCTCTCCGCAAACCTTGGACAGGACTGGCCACACAATGTAGCATCACTGGATTTGAGGGGGACATTTCTGGGGAGAGGCCTGTGGTAGAACTTTGGTGTCCTTGCTGAGCTTGTCCACAGGGGAACAAGTTGTTGTTTATTAGATGTTAGCTGCAGGGCCACTCATCCTTTGACACACAGATCCATTCATCAGATGAGTAAGGAGTTATCCTGGATCAGCGGCCTTGCCGACATCTTTCACACAGTGAAGAAAAGCAAAACCAGTCAGAGTTCTACATTGCAGTTTTCAGGATCTTTACAAGCCGACTGTTTATCATATTAGGACATTGATCCATAAATAAATTTGAAAGTGGTAATACATCTGGGTCTTCGCAGACCTCAAGTTGAGTCAATGATTTGTAAATATGTTTGTCTGTGTCATTGTCCCTTTATTATTAATGCTGGGCCTTTCATTATGGGTATCAATCTTGTCCTATTATCACAGTTCCTGAGAACCCTTTGTTCCCAGCACAGGCCCAGTTGTCTAGTTCTCATGCATTTGGGTAGCAGAAAGTTACATTTAATTCTGGTGGAATTTCAGATGCATGGTTCATTCCCATGAGCACTTCCTGCTCTTCAGAGTCTCACTATGCAGCTCTGACTGCCTGGAACTTACTATGTAGACCAGGCTGACCTGCAACTCAGAGATCTGCCTGCCTCTGCCTCCTGAGTGCTGGGATTAAAGATCTGAACTGCCATGCCCTGCGGTTCCATCTCCTATGCATTTTTCTATTTTCTAGAGCACAGCTTCCTAAACTGTGGGTCCCAAGTCCATATGGGGTTAGTTACATAGGTGAATGTAGGGGTCGTGAAAAATTGGCAGCAGTAAGAGGTTTCTGAATGTGCAACAACTAAACACTAATTCAAAATTAAATGAGTAACGAGGAACTGGAGAGATGGCTCAAGCAGTTGCTGCTCTTGCAGAGGACCCAGGTTCGAATCTTAGCACCTATATTAGGCAGCTGCCTATAACACTAGGTCCTAGGGATCTGACACCCTCCTCTAGCCACCATGGACAGTATACTCATGTGGTGCAAATACACACACACACACACACACACACACACACACACACACACACAAAAAGAACGGGTGATGAATTGGGTGTTTCTGGCAGTACACACTTATTCTAGTTTGTTTCTCCATTGCTGTGACAAAATACTCTGACCACTACCAACTTGGGGAGGAAAGGGTTTCTTTGTCTTACATCTCTTGGGTCACAGTTCATCAGGGAGCCCAAGGAAGGAACTCAGGGCAGGAACCTGGAGGCAGGAGCTGGAGCACAGAGGAATGCTGCTTATTGGTTTGCTCCCCTGACCCATGCTCAACCTGCTTTCTTATGCAACACAGGCCCACCTGCCCAGGGGTGACCACCCACAGTGGGCCGGGCCCTCTCATATCACTCTACAATAAAGAAAATGCCCCACAGACATGGCCACAGGCCAGTCCAATGGAGGCAATTCCCCAACTGAGGCTCCCTCCATCCACGTGTCTGGCTGACAACTAAATGCCTGTGTTGAATCATGTGTCTTCACTGCAGCCCTGCTTCTGAACACGGTGTGTGCACTTTGCACTGCCCATGCCGTCACAAAACCAACAAACACAAATACCTCAGCTCAGATTCACGATTAAGCCGTATTACAAACTGTAGAGTTTTTACTGTACATATAAAGTTTTCTGTGCTTATAGAAACATAATGATTTAATTACAGAACACAAAGACTTAGTATTTTCCAGCCATCATCCCTGAACATGTAAATATAAAATTAGTATATCTTTGAATTGTATTATGTCAGAATGTTTGGTTTTTAAAGTTGCTGTTTGGCGGGGCTAGAGAGGTGGCTCAACAGTTAAAAGCACTTGTTCTTGCAGAGGACCTAGGATCAGCGCCCAGCAGCCACATGGCAGCTCACAACCATCCGTAACTCCAGGGGATCTGAAACCCTCTTCTTGCAGGCACACGGTACACACCTGGTGCACATACACACATGCAGACAAAACATTCATACACATAAAATAAATTCACTATGTGGACCAGGCTGGCCTCAAACTCACAGAGGTACATCTGCCTCTGCCTCCCGAGTTGAGATTAAAGGTATGCACCACCACATCTGGTCCATCAGACAATTTTTTGTGTGTGTGTGACATGGTCTCCCTGTAGCCCCAGCTAGCCTGTGATATTGTAGTGCCTTCAATATCACAGAGGTCCACCTACCTCTTCCTCCTAAGTTCTAGGATTAAAGATGTGCACCACCACACCCAGCCTTCTTAAATTTTATTTATTTATTTACTTTTATTTTGGGTGTATAAGTATTTTAGGTGTATTTTTGCCTGCATGTATGTAAGTGCAATGTCCACAGAGGCCAGAAGAGGACATCAGAACCCATGAAACTGGAGTTACAGATGGTTGTTGGTTTTCATGTGGGTGCTGGGAGCCCAACCTGGATCCTCTGCAAGAGCAGCCAGTGCTCTTAACCACTGAGCCGTCTTTCCAGTCCCTCAAACAGCAATAAAAAAAAGATTCTGATTCTTCTTTTATTGCTGTGTAGTGTCTGTCTTTCCTTTTTTATTTTAAAGATTTATTTCATTTTTATTTATGTGGATGTGGGAATGCATAAGTGGGCAGATGCCCAAGGAGACCAAAAGAGGGTGCCAGATCCGCTGGAGCTGGAGTTACAGGCAGTTGTGAGTTGTCTGACAAGAGTGCTGGGACTTGAACTAGGGTTCTCTGCAACTTTGTTGTTGTTATTGTTATAAAAAGTTAAAAGTAAGAACTTCAGAAATTTCAAAGTTTGAATGAAAAAGAAGGCCTTGAAAGACAACTTCTGTCATACCCTTATCTCCTCCATGAGTGGCCATGGCACCTTTCCCTCTGGAGAGGCATCACCATTGGCAGCATACACTCTCATGACTGGGCCCTGGAGGACCACATCCTAGCATCCCCCCTCCGCTGGGTTCACTGGGGCTTGTCTCACCTTCCTGAGTCCCAGGAGCCTATTATGGTGACATCATTGTTCCCCATCCTTGTTTGAGTCCTTTACTGCTCCATTTCTGTCCCCTCACTGCAGGGCTCTGGGAATCAGATCACCTAGACAGTTTGCATGCGAGTGTCCCAAGCCTTAGTTCTGGAAGAACAACTTAACGGAGTAGTTTAAAAGACCACCAGACCCTAACAATAATAGCCAAGTAACTATCTAGAAGTAACCAACACAGCCAGAGCCCCTAACCTTCCGAGGCCAAACCTGATCTCCTCCTCCCCAGCCCCAGTTCTTTCCTGAACACTCAGTTTTGGGTAGCTGGACCACATTCTAGTCTTCAGCTTCCTGAGCTTCCCTGTGTGGGCCAGCAAGCAGGGCAACACTCGAGAGGAATCCTTGGCTGGTTGTATGCTGGTGTGGGGAGGGGAGAGGTGTCCAAAAGCAGAGATGAGCTCGCTGGGAGGAGGGGCTTCTGATCCTTCATGTGCCCCCCCCCTTCATCCACACTCATCTTCCCTCCTATCACTTAGACAACCCTCTGCCCAGGTCCCTTTCAGTCCCTTTCCTGTGTGGTCCACAAAGTCTTCAGGTGTCCTCTTACAATGTGGCATTGATGGCCTGTCAGGCCTCTGTGACCTGCCTTTCCCTAACTCCAGGGTGGCCATGGCTTGGTACTTTCTGTCCTCAGGGCCTGATATAGAGGCCTTTAGAAAGCATGCGGTTGTTTGTTGATTGATT